AGTTTTGTGATAAGATAATTCGTAATGGGTAACAAGTAACAAATGTAACAAAGGTGCAGCAAGGCGGCCCAATCCTTTTTGTAGCAAAGGATAAGCCTGGACGAACTCTTATATAAAGCAAAGCGCTCCCAGGACACATGGGAATTACTGTCAAGTTAGTTTTCATCATGCTCATATGATTCGCGTTTGTTACTTTGATAATTTGATATGTGGGTGCACCGGTGCTTGGGTGCTGTCCTTACTTGGACAAACCTCCCACTTACGATTAACCCCTCTCGCAAGCATCCGCAACTACGAAACAAGAATTAAGATAAATCTAACCATAGCATGGAACATGTGGATCCAAATCAGCCCCTTACGAAGCAACGCATAAACTAGGGTTTAAGCTTTTGTCACTCTAGCAACCCATCATCTACTTATTACTTCCCAATGCCTTCCCCTATGCCCAAATCATGGTGAAGTGTCATGTAGTCGATGTTCATATAACACCATTAGAGGAAATACAACATACATCTCAACTATCAAACGAATACCAAATTCACATGATTATTTATGACAAGACTTCTCCCATGTCCTCGGGAACAAACGTAACTACTCACAAAGCATATTCATGTTCATAACAGAGGGGTATTGAATATCATTAAGGATCTGAACATATGATCTTCCATCGAATAAACCAACTAGCATCAACTACAAGGAGTAATCAACACTACTAGCAACCCACAGGTACCAATCTGAGATTTTGAGACAAAGATCGGATACAAGAGAGAACTAGGGTTTGAGAGGAGATGGTGTTGGTGAAGATGTTGGTGGAGATTGACCCCATCTGGTAGGATCGTTGGTGATGACGATGGCTTTGATTTCCTCCTCCCGGAGGAAAGTTTCTCCGGCAAAACAGCTCCCCGGAGCCCTAGATTGCTTTTGCCTAGGTTCCGCCTCGAGATGGCGGCGCTTCGTCCCGAAAGTTTTCTTCTTATTTTTTCCAGGTTAAAAGCCTCCATGTAGCAGAAGATGGGCACCGAGGACCTGCCAGGGGGGCCACAAGCCCTGGGGGCGCGCCTATGGGGCTAAGGCGCACCCCCCAGGCTTGTGGCCACCTCGTGGGTCCCCCTCTGGTATTTCTTCGCCCAATATTTTTTATATATTCCAAAATAATTATTTGTAAATTTTTAGGAGTTTTGGAGTTGTGCAGAATAGGTCTCTTAGATTTGCTCCTTTCTGGTCCAGAATTCCAGCTGCCGGCGTTCTCCCTCTTCATGCAAACCTTATAAAATAAAAGAGAAAAGACATAAGTATTGTACCATAATGTGTAATAAGATCCCATAATGCAATAAATATCAACATAAAAGCATGGTGCAAAATGGACTTATCACAACATAATCCCTGTAACATACATCGTTTGTACTTCAGGGCCGAGCAATCCCACTAACTTCTGGTCCACTACAGCCTTGACCACGCCTTCTAGTGAACGTGGCCCTAGGCTAGCACCCCCCCTGTAATTTCAACCCTCCTATCAATGAAATGATACACAACCATGTGTATTAGCGGAAAAAAATGTTCTACTATGCATTTTCGAATGTTGATGCGGCTATTTGTTGGCGGGAAATGGAGTGCGGCAGGTCTGAATTAGGAGAGTTCTTAGGGGCTTTGACCCAGGTCATGTATGGTACTTACGATCCAGCATGCACAGAAATGATTGCTTGTAGAGAAAGATTATGTCTTGCTCAAGATCAAGGTGTTACGTCATCTATGATCGCCTCAGATTGTCAAGGTGTGATTTGTACCATTATAGAAGGTGGCCGAGGAGAAAACATCGTGATTTTGAAGGAAATCTCATTCTTTTGAAAAGGGCAATCCCATGATTTATTTTTAAATATGAGTTTAGATATTCAAATTTTGATGTTGATTGCTTAGCTAAGTACTCTTTAAATCTTAGTTCGGGCCGTCATGTGTGGCTTTTGGAGCCCCTGTGTTGTGTAAGCGAAACTAGTAATTAATAAAGTCTGGGTGTGTTTTGCTAAAAAAGACAACCGAGGCTCGTTATTTTCGTGACGTCGCACACTCGTTACTTTGGTGACATTGGTTTTAGATGAGTAATATCTGAGACACATCTAGATATGATCTAGACAGACCCTTTAATATAGACTATGTACGGATAGAAATAAGTGAATAAATACTAAAACATGTTTATATACATCTGATTCACAAAAGGTTGAACCATCCTATAGTATTTGGACGCGTTTGGTTGCCCGCATAAGGTCCAACCAGGCCCGCGCGGGAAGAAACTGGGCTATTTGGTTGCCAGCATACACTATTGGGCTTGCATTGCACAAAGTTTAAAGCACCTCTGGGCATGTCTCGCGAGGCACGCTCAAATTGGCAGTTTCTCGCGAGCCAAACCTGAGCAAGGCACATGGGCGGCAGGGGCTGCACGCGAGGAGCCACCCCCGAGAAGCCGTGTTGCTTCCCGAAGCGCCGGTAGTTATTACCCTCACCGCTCTCTCCCCTCTCCCCTCTCCCCACTCTCACTGACAATGACGATGGCGGCATGCATCATATCGGCAAACAGCAAGTCGACCTCCATCCACCTTCACTAGCATCCGCAACAGCACTTCGGCAATGGCGGTAAGCTATTTTTTTCCCTCCTGGCCTACTACATCGCATTCGATTCGAGTTTCGATTCGATCTGTGTTAGGGGAACGGGGAATCTGGGTAAACACCATAGAAGTGATCATAACATCGTCATGACTACCGGTACATATGAGGTTCCAGATCCGGATTGAGTACAATAGGAATGGGGATTAGGGTTCATCTTACATAGTACGCACAGATCTTAGACTCGGGGACCCTGGAGGCGATTGGAGCGGCGGGTGGCCTTGGTCTTGGTCTTCTCCTGCACCACCGTCTCTTCTTCCTCATTGGAGTCCACCTCGATTGGCATGCTTCGGTTTCCTGGCTCCGACACCCTCACAATCAACGTCACCGCGTCCTCTACTTCCCCTTCCATAGGCACAATATTTGTGGTGAAGTACACACTTACACGATAGTCGTAAGGACGCCTATACTGTCTGTACTTGGCCCACTTTGCCCTTTGTCCAGCGTCGCCGGATTCAGCCTAATTGCCCACCAAAGTATGTCTACTGACATAGCACCCTTCGCTGGGTCAGGAATCAGTGTCTTAAACTCCTCCAGTGTCGCCTTCTTCACCATAGCGTCTAACTCTTTGTGCAGCTCTTTCATGCTGCTGAAGTTTGAGCACACTTCCATGGTGTTCTCAAACTTGGTGCGGTCACCCAGCGAGCACCCTAGGAAGAAAGCCCTCCATCCAATGCCCCAAGGGAAGGGGTTGGCGTTGGGTTTGGGGTTGGGATTGGGGTTGGACTTGTTGTTGGAGTTCATGGTGTTAGGTTGGAGGAAGAGTGAGAGACTGGGTAAGTGGTGACCGTCAATGTGGCTTCATAAAGGGACCCACACGAGCATAGGTTTTAATGGCGATGTTGCAAGGTTCATAATGCAGATGCTGACCCAGCCTTTGAACCTCTTCATAATGCAGATCGACACAGAGAACAAGGGAAAGGAGGTGGTGCCATCGCAGGAGTAGGACAAGGGCAAGGACGATGTGCCGCCCTCAGAGATGACGCCTGTCCAGAGCCCGGCCAAGGACGACGACGTGCCGGAGGTGCCCCCCCCCCCCACAGGCAAGCGCCGGGACTAGGGCCACTACCATGAGGTGGGAGGACCAAGCACCTTCTGCAAGGTGATCATGGTCCCCCAGCTCGAGGCCGTACCTATGCCGTTGGACTTCACGAGGAACTTCTCGTCCGTGCCGCAGGATTTCAAACTGAAGACGAACATCGGCTGCTTCTGGAGGGTCATTGTCCGGCTATTGAATGGCAGGGTCACCCTCGATCAGGGTTGGGCCACCTTCACTGCCATCCATCAGATCAAGATATGCTTCATGGTAACCTTCAAGCTGTTGACTCCCAACATGCATCGTCTTCAATGACGATGGCATTGAAGTGGTGACCAGGTGCGGGAGGCACGACGACGCCTTCGCCGTGAACGCCTAGGACAACACCTCGCGTGCTCCAGTTGCTTTAGTTTAATATTGAACTGCTTTGCCTTTGAACTTGTTTGTTTATGTGTGGCACAATATTTATAACTGCTTAGTACTACTATGTTCTCTTGTGTGTGTTCTTCCCAAAGCCGATGTGTGCTGATAACCTCACCACCGCACCGAAGAGGTTATCGGACAACAGGCCTTGTGTTTGCGCGTACATAAGCGGACAACCAAACACCATACGCTAAACTAGCCCCTAATACGTGAGAACTAAATGCGGACAACCAAACAGGTTGGAGATGTTGGCTTAGAGGCTGCATTTTCTCAACAGCCTCATGTGTGTCAGAGTTGAACTAGTCAGGCCCGGTCACTACAGCTGCCAATCACGCCCTTTGTGAATAGACAGAGGGACAATTACAATACCTAGTTGATCCATGCTCGGCAATCAATATGTGGATTGGCACCGCGCGCATCTCAGGCACGTTTCCAATCCAAAGATACTAGACTTACTAAAGCTGTTACGTATCCTACTTAATCTTCCTTTCCCGCGTAACCAAACGCCCTCCCCTAATTTTCAGGGTGAGCAACTGGAGCACGGCGAATTAAAGGCTGTCAACTTATCTCATTCGTAAGACACCTAAAAATCTTTTCGTAGATGTACCATTGCTCTTTCCAATCTAGTGCATACTCCATTCGAAATTACTTTTCGCTTAGATGTATATATCTAGTGCATTTGAGCGACAAGTAATTTGAATAGGAGGCACGTTTTGCGCGCGCACGGTTACTAGTACGTAAAATTTCTGACATAATAAAATCTTTTATACAGCGTTTTTTGGAATTGGAGGGTACCATTTTGTTCTCCGTATTCGTATACATGACAGAGGAACTGAAAAAAGATGAGCAAGAAATTATCTATAGTACCATGCCTAGGAGGAGGAGGCTAGGTGAGTGTAATGAAGTTCTTGAGGGAGGCGACGAGGCTGGGCGGCCAGTGCTTGGTGTCCCTGACGTAGGCGAGGTCGGAGTAGTGCGGGTCCAGCAGCGTGGCGATGTTGAACTGGAACTCGGCCAGCAGCGGCGCGTGCTTGTCGGCGTACAGCGCCGCCGCCAGCGCGGCGTGGATCTCCGGGTACCCCTTGAGCGCCACCGACACGTCCTCCATCTCCGTGATGGACTCGTCGCGGTCGCCGATCTCGTACAGCACCAGCGCCCGCCCCACCCGCGCGTACTCCGACAGCGCCAGCTCCTTGTACCCGCTCACCACCGCCGTGAAGGACGCCAGCGCCCCCGCGAACTCGCCGCGCGCCTGCAGCTCCCGCCCGGCCTCCAGCAGCCGGACGGCCTCCCCGACGCGCTGCGACACGGCCGCGCTCGCCGCGCGCTCCGCCTCCGTCACCGGGTCGTAGCCGAGGTCGACCGCGGCCGCCGCCGCTCCCCTGCTGGCGTCGCTGTTGCCCGCGGCGGCGACGAGGAGCAGGCCACCGGCGGACACGAGCAGCCGCCTCCTCGTTGTCGTTGCGGCGGATGGTGCCGAGGAGATGACGACGGGTGGCCGCTGAAGCGGTGTCTCTCCGGTGGAGACGGAGCCCGCCGGCGTCACGGGCGCCCGCATTTGCATTGGGACGGGAGGCGTTCGCGGCTCACATGCTCACTACGTTCCCTTTCCGGGGAGCCAAAGAGAGCTCAAGAGAGCGATAAGGTTTGAGAGGCCGGACTAAATGTGTGGCATATAGTACAGACTTGAGGAACTAAACACCGGAGATAATTCCATGTTTTTGTTTCGAAATGTTTCTGGTGCCACTGAAATTTGACCAGCAGTTTCTACATCAGTGACATTAGCAAAGGAGGAGATCCCTAGACACCCGAGGCAGCGGCTGCAGATTCCAGCACATGATGAAAATTTTATATCATCTGCTACGGCAGAAAAAATTTATGTTGCCCTAAAACCTACTTTTGATGTCCTAAAATTATTTTTAGTGCCTGATTATACATCATTTGTTGGAGAGATGCTCTTACACCAGCGTCATGGTAACACATGCTTGATGGCATCATAGTAACGCCCAGTTAATGGCGTTGTAGTAACTATTGCCATGACCTGGCCACCTGGGTAGTACAAGAATCAACTGAATTAGATTTTGTAACAGATGAGTTGGAAGTTCAATAATTACATAGAGTTCATTTAAATTAAAAGTAGCTGCGTAGTGAATTAGTTCGACAATGAAAAAGAAAAGCAAAAACCAATAACCATTTTTCCGTGCTTTTAAACAGCATACTCGCTGCTAGGATCAGACTTAAGTGTTTTTCAACTTAGAAGATCAATGTATGTAGTTTTCAACAGATTGAATATCCCAGAATTAACAGAGCAAGAGCACAAGCTAAACACTTGAGTCCTGACAGGATGACATCAGAACACTTGGCATCAGACATACAGTACTCCAGGGATCTTATTTCTTTATGTTACCAAGATTGTTATTACGCTTACTGACAAGCATTATCATTTAATCCCTTCGTCCTATGAGTGTCAAAAAAGATCTTACATTATAGGAGGGAGGGGGTAACAACAAACAAGATTTCCCTAAAAAAAACTGGATTTTATGATACCCTCTTACCCCTCTTTTCACATGGTAGGTAAGACGGTAAGAGTTAATCTGACCATTACTTAATCAAATCAATGGTTCAGATCTATTGTGAAGTCTTACCTCTCATGTGAAAAGGGAGGTAGGAGGGAGCATGCTAAAATTTGCCTTTCTGATAATGCAAGCTAACACTGAAGAATTATCATCTAAGGAAGGTTCAACAGATATTGTTGGAGCCCGCAGTTCGAACTCTCAAAGTGAAAGAGAAACTAATTAACTAAGAGAGAAAATTATAATCCGCTTCTCTTTTATACATCACCTAATGCTTAATCCAGACGCTAATTAGCATCAACCAAAATTTACATATATAAGGTAAGTAAGCTGTACAAAACATAGCACACAAATTCAGCTCACGCATCACTCACACTTGATATGGTACGATACATGACCATGCCAACTAGCTAGCTTCACTTGGGCTCCACCCTCGATGACGGCAGCCCGCCGCCGCTGTACTCCGACGGGCTGTCTCCTCCATAGGGGTGGCGCGGCGTCCTGCTGGCGTAGCTCATGGACTCGGACGCCGACTCGGGGCCGCCGCCGGCCATCCTGGTGATCCGCTCGATCTCGCTCACCGCCTCGCCCATGGAGGGGCGGTCCGCGCCGGCCTCCTCCACGCAGCGCAGAGCCAGGTCCACATACTGCTCCAGCCCGCCCAGCGACGTGGGCGACGCGCCCAGCACCGGGTCCAGCAGGTCGTGCAGGCCGTACAGATCCTTGCTCCGGTCGAGCGCGGCGAGCACCTCCCGGACGATGTACCGCCCGCGCTCCAGCGGCTTCTTGGCCGTGATCATCTCCAGCAGCAGCACGCCGAAGCTGTAGACGTCGCTCTTCTCCGTCAGCTGCTGCGTCATGTAGTACTCAGGGTCCAAGTAACCCTGCCACACCACACCCACACGTACAAATTAATCAGGACTGTTCTATTTGTGCTTATAATCATCAAGCTTTTAAGGCGACAGCTGGTTGATTGGAGAGCGAACCATTGTGCCCTTCACTTGTGTGGTGACCTGCCCCCTGCCGTCCTCGCCTAGAAGCTTGGAGAGGCCAAAGTCCGAGACCTTGGCATTGAGCCGCTCGTCGAGGAGAACGTTGCTCGACTTGATGTCCCGGTGGACAATCGGAGGGTCTGCGAGCTCGTGGAGGTAGGCGATGCCCTTGGCCGTGCCGAGGATGACACGGAGCCTCCGCTTCCAGTCCAGCCGCACGCCGGACTTGCCTGAAGAAAGAAATTCCAAGGCAGCACAGCACGCATGAGCAAGAATGACAAATGAATGATGCACTGCATTGACCGAGAAATTTCACCTGTGAGGCTCTCTTTGAGTGTGCCATTGGGGATGTACTCGTAGACCAGCATCTGCTCGCCCTGGTCAAGGCAGAAACCGAGGAGGCTCACCACATTCTTGTGGTGAACCCTGGACAGGAGCTCGATCTCGGTTCTGAATTCCAGGCTCCCCTGCAGGGATCCCTCCTGGGATCTCTTGACAGCGATCAGTTGCCCAGTTGGAAGTGTCCCCCTGTAAACCTACAGTATGGAAGCCCGGAATATTTGATCAGTCCTGACATGTATGTATCAAGTTATATAAATGCATCACATTCAAGATCAACATGTCGGTTCTGCTTCACCTTCCCGAAGCCGCCATTTCCTATGTCGTTCGCCTCCGAGAAGTTATTGGTTATCTTCTTCAGTTCAGCGAACGTGAACGTGCGCGCACCGCGCAGCTGTGGCACACTGGTGCTGGTGCTCTTCATGTCCAAAGAAGCTGCATGGAGATGGTAGTCAGTAGTCAGCATGCAAATATGCAACATTGGTTACTTGGTTGGTCAAAGATGAGATCGCCTACCGAAAGACTGGCTTCTCTCTTCGGTCTTCTTTGGTTCTCTCTTCCGTCTCGTGATGAAAAAAATAACAAGAAGCAGCACTGCAATAACAACTGCACCACCGGCTGCGACTCCGACGATAAGTGGCAACTTGTTCGCCTTTGATTTTTTAGATGCTGGCACCTCTGTTGCAATACGGTAGCTTTGGGCGATGAAATAGTATGGACCGAAAACAGCGGGCGGCTTATACGTTTGATTGCTCAAAATGAACCCAATGTCAGAAATGTCCTGCGCCCCAAACTGAACCTTGCCGCCGGGGAAGACCTCCAAGCTCAGCTGCAAGTTGTTGTTCACATCAACGAATGGGTTATGAAGAGCGATCGAGTCGACGGGGGCACTGTATGACAAGAACTTGGTCTTCATGTCCTTCTCCAGTAGATGATAGTATGACTCGTTGCTGAGGTCAGAAAACGATGGTGCTCTGAAGAACAGTGTGCCTTTGTACGGTACGGCACATGTGCAGCTTGGGCTCAGAAGTTGGCTTGAGAGGCATGTTGCTGGCAGCCCTGAGCAGTTCTTAGGAGTAGCATATGGCGGTGCCGCCGGGTTGGATTGTGGCGCGGCTTTGCAGTATTGCTCGTTGTTCCCTTGGTTGCATATTGGGTTTCCTAAAAGTCTGTGACAAGAATACATGTGAAAAAACTGAATCTGTCAGGGAGGGAATTTCAAGCTGTGACAGATACAAATGCAGAATGCCTCCTTACATGAGCTTCTTGTTGTATTGGGTTCCCCCAACAGTGATCGCTTCGATTTGATTGTCCTGCAAATCAATTGTTTGGAGCTGACTACTGAAGTCTGACCCAATGTTTAGGGTGCCGTTGAAGCGGTTGCCCCGAAGCTTCCTGAAATTGTCAGCCAGTAACAGTTTAATTGAATATGAATTGTATGATCGTATCTACTCGTACATTTATTTGAACACTAGCAAGTGTAGCAACCCCTCACAGTGTCTGAATTGCAGGAAGGGTGAAAAGCTCTTGCGGGAGCTGTCCGCCGATTTGCAGATTCTCTAGGTATCTGGAGTCAATGAAGAAAAATTCAGACAAATTTGCCTTGCCTGATAAAATATTAGACGAGAGCAGAAAAGATAGAGCTAGAAACTCACAATGAAGTCAAAGACGGCAAAGCAGTCAACCAGGCTGGAGAATCGGATGCATTGAAGCTGTTGTTACTCATGTCCCTGCAACAAAGTTGCTCATGCTTTAATCGCAATCCTAGTCTTGTTTTCAGAAAGGAAAGGTGAATTCATTGCTTACACAAAGCTGAGTGCACTCATTCCTGTCAGGTCTGGCAGAGGGCCAGTGAGCCCGTTGTTTTCTAGATGGCTAGAGCCAAACGAAAAAATATTGTAAGCTTTCTCGTATATATATTTGATACTGAGAATTAAACACACAGGACAGGACACTCACAGTTCAGCCAGCTTGGTGAGGTTGTTGATGTTGGTGGGAACTGGCCCAGACAACTGATTGTTGTTATCAAAACGTCTGCATTTATTCAACTTCATGGTTGGAATCACATATGCATATGCTAGTAAGTATCACAATATGCGTGTACATTTACTTACAGAACTTCCAGCACATTAAGAAGGCCTAGAGTAGGGGGGATGCTGCCAGAAAAGTTGTTGTTGTCGACAAGACTTGAAAAAAAGATGGAACCAATCACTTAATTAGCCTCATCACACAACTGTGTCAGATATGGGTTACAGACTTTCGATGGTCTTACAAATGTATCAGCTTCATTTGTGAGTTGAAAATCTGGCTCGGTATGGTGCCAGAGAGCTGATTGACGCCGAAGTGGCTGCCAAAACGCGGTACATACACCAGGCGATGTAAAATCTTCAGATATCATGAGAAAAAAAAACTTCAGCTATCAAGATTGGCCATTTCAGAGAATGTACTCACAAGTGCTTTGTATTTGTCAGATTATCCAAACCGGGATTTGTTCCATCGAATACCGGAAGTCCTCCAGTGAGCTTATTGTCAGCCAGATCAAACCAGTATAGCTTTGAGAGGCCACCGAGTGACGGCGGTATGCGACCAGTGAACCTGTTGGAGTTCAGAGATCTGCAGAGAGAGTGCAATAATCAACCTTGTTTTACTGAAAC